CATGAAACTATTTAGGGCGTGGTTGTGCATGATAAGCTCCTGCAAGATGGATTAGGTCGTTTCTGATGCAGTTTTAGCTTTTCTTGTGATCGAAGTTTAAATATTTGAGATGCTTTTTGTTGCATTAAACCACAAAAGTGTCTGTTGGGTTAAAGTTGAGTAAATGGAGGTCTAACTGGTCCACCACCACTGAGAACTACATCTCCCAGAATGCACCAACAAAATGGTGACTGATTGGTGATAAAAATCACCTATGCAGGGTGGTGGTTCTCAGTCCTCAGTCAAACAGGAACAGCACAGCAAGCTCTAACAATGAGTTGACTCTAAAGACGCCAATGGTTGGTAACTATTGTTTTGTTTATGATATGAAGTTGTTTTGGGTGACCTTTAAAGTCATGCTTTTAATTTAATCGTTTACACTGTTAGTGTGGGAAGATTTAGTTTAGAAAGTCCTTTGTTTATTGTATTTTATATAAATTATGTGACATCTAACACTTGTCTCTGTTCTTTGAAGGTTATCAACCTAATGTTCACTGAACTGACATAATAAAAATTGTTGGAATGTGAAGGAGTTGTCCCAAAGTGTCCCTTTAGAGTGAAACTAGTGTGGAGCTTGACAGTTGATAACCACAGAGCACCCTGGATGAGAAGATAAAGGGCTTCAAACCAGAAAAGCTGTGGACGCAAGAGGAAATAAAGATGGCAGAAGAGGTCTTGGGGAAGACGGTCAAACTGCTGAAGCAGGAAAGGACCAGTGCTAAAAGCAGCTTCACCAGACTAGCCAACTTTATTTCAAGAGGAGCAGACATCATGCTGAAGACCGAATTAGAAGAGGAATTTGGAAAACTTTCAGACCGGTTCAGGTCAGTTCTTGACTCTAATGATGACTACAGGATTGGACTGGAGGCTGATGTCAAGGCAGTGGATGAAGAAGCAGAACTTGATAAGCAGCAACAGACCGACATTAAAATGACATTAAAAGATGCAGAGAAGAAAATGAAGGTTACTGCCGTTGTACAAACTAACCTGTGGGGAAGATATAGAGAAAGGGAACTTAAAACATCAATCCACACCCTGTCTTGTCTCCCCATTCTGTTCAGCCATGTGTCTCTGTTAATTGCTCCCACCTGCCTCTCGTTTTCCAATCACCCAAGCTCCCAGCCCTCATGTATTTAAACCCCTTCAGTCCTGTGTCTCTTGTCGGTTCATTGTTTCAGTGTCAGCGTGTTTATTATTAAAGCCTTTCGATCGTTCATGTCTGCTTGCTTACCTTCTTCACCCGCGTGTGGATCCTCACCTCCGTCTCACTCGCCAGCACGCCTGACAAAAAGCATTCAGCCCCTGATGCTTTTTATGTTTGCATTCACGATACTTTTGAGGTAGCTAGCTTGAAAGCAGCGGTCCGTAGCGCAACGTTATAAAGCGAAGGAGGAAACTATTTCTAAATTTGAACGGCTACAGTTCCTGCCCCTGCTCCCCTCCCGTTCTGGAAGGAGCTAGTACGCACCTGTCCAAAAGAAACATAGCCAACTTTTCTTCAGTTTTGAGCCCTTGTAGCTCACGAAGCTTCCTCCATCTTTTAAACTCGCCGCCGATGTAAATTCTACTCAACTGTCGCGAACGTCTCACGGAGAAGTTTTGCAGAAGGACTTAAACTATTTCAATCTTCTTTGAAATGCAGATGGTGCATGATGGAAACGGTCTTGGGTCGGGACGGATTTAGTCAATTAAAGTAATTAATCATCTTTAGCTGTTTACTAATTAGCAGGTTATGTCATTCTTATGTGCGGGGCAATTGATTATCTGTTCCCAAAACGCTCGTCACCTTGTTTTATTTTGCACAGACCTCCAATCAACTGCTGCCTGATGCAGATCGTAAACCTTCATGGAGTGACACGTGGTTCCTTTTGATCGCTCATCTCAGAGGCATCTCAGTGTCCTTTGCCCCAGCGGTGGACATCAATACACACCGCCGCTGTGGGGGTAATTATATTATCATGGCCTCTTGCTCTGAGAAAGGTTAACTGCTGTCTCTGGGTGATTGGACACCACGTGTGTCTTTGAAGGATGGACAGTAGGAGGAAGAACAAGCAGGTGCACAGATCCGCCATCGAGACAGTGGAACAGGCAAACACACACATCAATCCGCCCACACAGACACCCACGAACATGCACACGCTAGTGCACAGCAGATGGATGGTGTGTTTGATGATGGCTGAAATAAAGAAGTGAATCAGTGGAGTCCATCCTCCATTTTTTACTGGAAGGTCTTGTGGCCCTCGAGTCCCACAGAAGTCAGGAAATCAACGATCAGCGAGGGACTGAGGGGTGTTGCACGCAGTGGCCTTGCATGCCACAGTGGGTCTTCCCATCATTAGATGAGGTGTACAGCAACTGATCCAACTGTTTTTGTTTTTTTTGTCGTAGATGAAGAGCCCATTCATCTTCTGCAATGGTGTACTCTTAACATGTTTGCTTTTGATAAAAGGAGAAAAAAGCACCTTTGAGGGAAAAAGCTTTGATGTTTGAAAAAAAACCTGTTTTACTTCAGATTTGCACAAGGTGAATGAAAACATAAATTTGTTATAAATAATTTGTATTTCTGTTTTAGCTGAATAGGAAACATTTAAATGAGTCTAAATGATTCGTAGTTTGTTCTGGAAACAAACTGACAGAAAAACAAAAGCGACGCCTAACCTGAGCCTTTTTTAAAGGCTGTAATTAACACAGAAGCTAATATGATGCTAGGCTCCACGTGGCAATTTGTAATGAAACGCGTTGCGTCTGTTACTTCCTCCCACTAATCAGAATGGAGACAGACCCATTAAAGCTCGGCTCTTTGTTCCCTGATATCTCACTTGTGTGGCTGTCACTCCTTGTAAAACTTTGAGTCGGTGTGCTTGTCTGTGCTCGTTTAAAACCCTTCAAAGTGCGAGGAGAACAGCCTGTACCAGCGGCAGCGCTGACGCAAAGGCAACTATTAGTGATAAGAAATTAGGCAAGCGAGAAAGATCAAAGGAAAATCCCACTGATAGTGTACATAAGGGATGACCTCTGCGATTACCGCAGCATGAGAGCGGTGTGGCGACAGACCACCCAGGGGCTCACATCAACTCAAACTGATGGGGAGGCCACCACCGAACCTCATCCAGGCGCTAAATCAAAACCTCTAAAAAGCAGCTTTTTCCCTCAGAGGCGGAAAACAGCACATAAAACAAACTTTAACTGCCTCATCTTTTTTTATTTGGAACCCTGTTTGCTGCGGTGGGGCGCCATCCCGCCCGTCTCCACATCCAACGACATAAACAACTTGTCAATTAGCAAAATGTTTGTACAAACATTTACAACATGAAATTCTCATGAGCTGACTGGATGGGAAATGAGTGAAGCGAAATAAGACGGATTAAAAGTAAGAGTGCAGCTATGAATGTATTAATACACGTGTGTGTGTGTGTGTGTGTGTGGAAAATAAAGTGTGGGAGGGCTAAAATTAGCTAAACTTCTTTGCGGATTGAAGGTTCATTAACGCGTCTGACGCTTTGATCCGCCGATAAAATCAGGAAAGATGGGATCACAAACACCAGAGACAAATAATTAAAACTCATTTAACTTTTCCGCGACACGGAGACGATGAGGAAAAGTTTTGGACCACATGAGGAAAGAAACGTTTGCTTGGGGTGAAAACAGCTGTGGTTTAAAAGACGTGTGAAGGATTCTGGCCATTTGTGTCTGAACCCTTCGCAGCACGTCTTCATTTCACCGGCCTCTTGGGGCTCTTTCTGAGACTATCCAAGAAACTGAGCTAGTGTTGTCATAAAATGCTGAGACAAGGACCAAATACAGGTGAGAAAGGTGGTTCGAGAGGCAGCCAGGTAGAAGAAAAATAAAGGTCTACAACAGGAAAATTTGGGCAGCCTTGTTAACCTTCATGATTTTCCTGAATAAAGCGTTGGTTGTGATGATAAAACATATTAAATATGTCATATAGGAGACACACAGAGTGATATGAGAAGTGAAACACGGTAGGATTTACTGAAAGTGTGATTCAAGAGTTTTACACGTCAGGACTTTTGTTTCTTTTTCATCCGGCCTGTTGTAGATTTTGTAGATGCCCATACGTTAGACGCTAGATTGTTTTGGTTCATAGTGGAGTTCAAATCAATAACTGCAAGATGCCCAAACCATCACTCTTCCACCACCGTGTCCAAGTGTGGCTCTTACCAAACACTAATAATAATAATAATGCATTGAACTTATATAGCGCTTTTCAAGTCACCCACAGACGCTTGCACACACTCTCACATTCACACACTGCTAGTGATGGTAAGCTACTTGTAGCCACAGCCGCCCTGGGGAGGTCTGACAGAGGCGAGGCTGCCATTTGGCGCCGTCGGCCCCTCTGACCACCACTAACACAGGCAAGTTGGGTGAAGTGTCTTGCCCAAGGACACAACAGCAGGATACCCCTGGCGGGAGCTGGAATCGAGCCCTTGACCCTCCGATCATGAGGCAACCCGCTCTACCACCTGAGCTACTGCTGCCCCACTGAGCTGTGCCTTCTGGGTAAACATCTCAACTTTTGTCTCATGTGTCTAAAGAACCTTTAACCTGCTGTTTCAGCCAGGTAGAGTCTGGAGAGCAATGCAGGGCTTGTTTTCAGAGAGAATTTGCTGGAACCAGGTTGATGGTCAGCAACAGTTGTTTCTCTAAGGTCACTGTTGTGTCTTCCCATTTGTGTGAACTGTGTTGACACACGCCTGTATGCTCCAGACCAGAACTCTTGCTTTATAGAAGATGAAGATCAGTTAAGTTTTCCATGTTGGTTTTGTTGTTTAATAAATAATGACATGGTACACTTTAGAACAGATGTGATTTATAGTACAACCTGCTAAAGATCAGATCAGTTTTATTAAGTCCTGATGAGTAAATCTCTAAATGTAAACGTGACTGAAGGCCTGATGAGGCTGGAACGCCACTATCTGTGTCCATCTTGCACTCACCGTCAGTCGAACAGCCGGTGGATCCGTCGCTGGAGCAGTAGCGCATCTCGATCCGCTGCCTCCCCACTTCCAACATGCTGGCATCCGGGATCCGAGCTTTGCACGTGTAGCGGAAACGCTGCTCGTAGTGGCCGCCATTGTCCGAGATGTTGACAGGCGTCCATGGAGTCCAGGGTGTGGTCTTCTTAAGGTCGGGGCACGGCAACGTGTTGCACGGCTGATACTCCTACGGACACAAAAGAACGCTTTTATGTCATGGCGAGCACGTTCTCAGGCAGGTGAACCGACGCATCTGGAGGAAGAAGGGATAATCACATCAGCTAAGCCGTAATTAGCATGACAGAGTTTTCTGGTGTTTCTCCTGCATAATGAACAGGACACAATCGCTTTTGAAATTCTCAGCAGTGACTCATGAAATTAAACAGCTCATTTTATGCGCACATCAACAGACTTTAGAAAGCTTTCACTGTCACTCACCCTTGAAAGCCTCTTAATTCCAGTTCAGTCAGACAACGTGCATTTAAAACGCCTATGAACCTTTATTGTGGGATATAAATGGAGTTTTTTGCGTCTGGGCTTTGATCCCTATCGCCTTCTGGGATCGTGTTTTTCTGTGATGGCCTACAGTTGGACGAAAGCAGCAGCTGCGGCATAAATATGCACAGCAAGGAAGACATTTTGCAGGTTAATCAGACCCCCCTAGATGGTAAAAAGTGTTTGCTGCATGTGGAGAGCGAGACAGTTTTCTGACCCAGCTCAGGACCGAGCCCCTACTGTAGCTGGCTAAAATGCAACCTGCCACTCTGCCTGACTCCAAATCCATTCCCCGTAGACACGGCGAGGGGCAAACAAACCCAAAAGAAAAGGTCACCGATCAAGTTAAATTCACAACCAAGGGGAACGGTGGAGAGAGAGAGATAGAAACGCGATGGAGAGATTGGAAAAGAACAAGAAAATAGAAAATAAAAAAGTTTTAATGAAAACTTTTCCTCCCATCTACATTTGGCTTTGAGAGCTGGGCAGTAAAAATGAATAACACCAGCTCTAAAGCTCTAATAGTGTGATGCATGAGACTTATTCAGGAGTCTTCCAAAGGTATATATTACCTCCATCTCCGTTAACCAATCCCCTGCTGCTTATGTGGCGCTATACTTGATTATACGATTCAAGGCGATATTAGGTGGGTAAACGGCCGTCCAGCCTTCCTTTTTATTCCCCCCGCTAAAAAATAGGGAGTTTGAGGAGGTGACACATCTGAAGTAAATGACACCCTTGAAGGGAAGGTGAGACGGCTGCCATTTTCCTCCCCACTTGTTTATTTATGCCGAATAGGACTTGAGTGACTGCTGGACCTTGATAAAATAAGATAAGAGTTCCTTTCTGCACATCCATCAGTCTGTCACATGGGATAACCTGACAGGTCAACGGGGAAAAAAAGCTCTATACTTTAAACATTATGCAGGACTATTTTTCACCATCTCACTTCTCTTTCTTTCAAATGTGATCACCTCTCATGATCTTGCTTCGCATCCATCCATCTATCTTTACATTCCTCTGGCTCCATTTTTCACGCGCCGCTCATAGCTGGCGTTGTGTCGGATATGTCCGTTTCCCCCGTCTGGATCTCTGTTTCATCTCTCGCTCCCGCCGTCACCCCATTCGCTCCAGTTTCCCGCTTTCCCCCCTCTGGAGTACCAAGGTTAAAAACACAGGGAGGATTTAGATTTTTTGAAGGCTGCCGTGATGAATGGGGAGGTGTCACCTCCATCACACTTCCTGCCTCTCTCCGTCTCCTACTATAATCATTCCCAGACATTAATATTTAACATTGTCACGCATCACGGACTACCACACAATCCGCCATTATCAGCCAATAAGGGGAAAAGAAAGAAAAATCCACCTCTGTGTCACCGCCTGGAGCGACAGGAAACCAACACATGGCGTGAATTGGGGGGGGGGGGGGGGGGGGGGGGGGGGGGGGGCAAACGATCTGCGGCTGTTTGTTGTGTGAGTTGTTGAAGGTGGCCAAACATGGTAAATATTTAATGAGGCTTGTCTGGTAAGCATTTCTCCCTTTACTCTCTAAGGATTAGTGTTCATGCAGAGGGCTGAGGAGATAATTACTGGGTTTAAAGCCAGACCTCATTGAAGGTCTCTGCTGAAGTATATACAGCTTACAAGGTGATAAATTTATACTGTGTAATAAAAACATCCTATTCACTGAAGAGGACTCAAACGATGCCCGTATTTGCATGTCCAGGCACACTTTCATATGTTTATTATAGAGCCAAACTATTCTGAATAAATGGCTCCATATAAAGACCCCATAAAACAGTAGATCACCGGCTCCTAGAATAAATCTGAGGGGACACAAGTTGTTAACAGGGATGGCGTTGTTCTTTAGGCCACTTCTCAGATTAAAAGCGTGAGAAAGCATGTGTGGTTGAATTGCAGCTAGGGCCAGAATGCAAAGTAAAGGTGATAGAAAACCGTAATCCGCATTTTTTATCTGAGATGAGTCAATTTCCTTTGAAGTAGTAGAACAATGGACACTAAACCGGCTAATCACCAGTTTCATTCATTTAATTTGGAATTGTTGACGTGAGAGTGACAAACATCCTGTTTTATTGTATTTAGAGAACCAGAAACAACAGTTTTTACTGTTTCTCTGGGATAGACTTTCATCATAGCTCGACCAGAGCATCTGAAAAGCTGCTCAGATATGTCTCACTTACGGAACTGTTTTGAGATGGGTTTAGATATGCAAAAGTCAGTGTGAAGATATTTTTAGTCTTATGGTAAATGGCCTGTATTTGATATAGCGCCCTCTAGAATCCTGGAACCCCCCCAAGGCACTTTACAACGCAACCAGTCATTCACCCATTCACACACACATTCACACATTGGTGGGGATGAGCTACGACGTAGCCACAGCTGCCCGGGGGCGCACTGACAGAGGCGAGGCTGCCGAGCACTGGCGCCACCGGTCCCTCCGACCACCACCAGCAGGCAACATGGGTTAAGTTACATTAATGTGAATGAAAGATAAAAATACAGTTGCATAACAGCATTAGGTCTAAGTTTCGGTTTTCAAACTAACATGAGGTTGACTACAACAAAGGTTTTGTGCCCATAACAACGTTGGCCTTAAACATAAACTCTTTGTCGCTCTGAGGGATCTGAAGAAACAGCGTTAATGACTCCTGCTGTCGACAATATTAGATCCTGGGATATGAAAGCATATTTTATTGTCTTCAAGTGCAATATAGTGAGCCATGTCAAAGCAGCTGTGTATATAAAAACACGAAACCAGAACAATAAAGGGCAATTTTGAATAATGCATTAAAAATGTACCAGAGGCAGAGTAAATAAGCATCAATCAAAATCCATATTGCTTACACACACACCAACCTACAAATTAAATCAGTCCATCCACGGTGTCCGATCAGTGAATAGGTCACCTGAAGCAGACGTTACATGTTGTAAATGCACCTGACTAAACAAAAACGCTCAGATTAAACTTTATTTGCTCTATTTAAACATTTACTGGAGCCATTTAAATGATTTACAGTAACAACAAATGGTACAGTAATAAAGTACTCTTCACTCAACCACAACCAAGTTTTCATTTTCTAACAAAAGTTGCTGGAAAGTGACAAAAAAGCTGAACTGGATTTAATTAGTTGACTCATACTTACAGTCCCTCTGTGCAATGTGGGCTAACGGAGCAGTGATGTTATGCTGTGAGGCACCTTTAACGGGCAGCTGAACATAAACGGGTGGGTCTGTAATGGGTTTGAGAATAGAGCTCAGGAGAGCTGGGAAACATGCTGGTCAGTATAAAATTTAGCTCAGGCTTTTTTTTTACAAGGAAAATATACATTAATTAGATGGATGTATGGGCTGCACAGTAGTGAGCGCTGTGGCCTTGCAGCAAGAAGGTCCTCGGTTCACATCCCTGCCTGGGGGTCTTTCTGCATGCATGGGTTCTCTCCGGGTAGTCCGGTTTCCTCCCACGGTCCAAACACATGACCGTCAGGTTAATCGCGCTCTCTGAACAGTCCTTGGGTGTCTTTCTTGTGTGCCTCTGAGTAGCCCTGCGATGGACTGGCAACATGTCCAGGGTCTACCATGCCTGTTTGCCCGATGAATCCTGGAGATGTGCACCAGCCCCCCCCCCCACCCCCCCCCCCCCCCCCCCCCACCCCCCACCCCCACCCCCACCCCCACCCGAGGACAGGCGGGTATAGAAAATGGATGGATAAATGTACCAGAATCGGCCAATAAATATCAAACAAGCTGTAAAAGTCTTATAAATACTAAACAAATGGTAAATAATCTATCTCGAGTCCAAGTATTACCAATAAAATTAAAATGTGTGCTTCTAATGTGACTTTGGTGAAGACACACGGTCTATTTATGCAAGATAGTGAACTTGAGTGCTGAATAAAAGAAACTGAACGTAAGGCTGCACTGATTTGTGTGTTTGAAGAATAAGCGTGTTTACTTGTTTATGCACGGCTGGATTGAAGCAGCTCTTATCTCATTCTGCCTTCATCTACAGAGTTCTGTTTTTTTAGGTATTATAAATTACCAAAATAAAGAAATACAACTTGCAAGGAGGAAAAAGGCCAAAGAAATCTGGTAATATAAATCTTTGTTCATGTGGATTTTTAAGAAAGAAAACAAGATATTTCCTTGTTTTACTCTTCTGTGGTTTCTCGCCGGCTATAAGAGGGGATCTAACAGTCGTGCTTCTCCATCCTCCTGCCATCATTACTCTAATTATAGTTCTTATTGGAATCGGGCAGCTGAAAGTGTGCATGTGTGTCGGGTATTATAAAGACGCCTTGTAGTTTACTAACAAGCATCCTGATGTTTGGTCCAGATGTGATACGTGGGAGTTAAGTAAATCACAGCTAAGCCGACATCTTATTCTATTATGGTGGAGTCCACAAGGCAGGGGCCTAATGTTCCTCAAGCCTCGGTGACATATCAGTTCAATTAGCAGCGCTGACCAAAAGACACTCCGTCAAGCGCTGACTTTCTCTCTCTCTCTGTAATGAAGCCCGCTGTCGCCGGGCCACACACTGCTGCTCACACAGCGACTAACACAGAACGATGTAAAAACACACACACACACACCAGGCCGCCCGCACAAACTTAACTTTCATTTCACAGCCTGGCTGCATGACTGAACTCCTTACAGGTAAACAGAACCGCTCT